GAGTGAAACTCCGTCTCAAAAAAAAAAAAAAAAAAAGATTACAAAAACTAAAATCACTTATAATTTAAGAGTGAATCAATCTCTTAAGAAAATTTTATTGTTCTAATCAATTCTTTAGTGTATAAGTGGTTTTTTAACATCAAACCCAATCTCTAGAAAGACCATTGTAATTTGCCTTTAATTATAGACAACTTGATCATAATTTTTTTGTTTGAGAAATCCTCCTATTGTGACTTACACAGACCATAACATACTTGGACTTAATTGTCATAAACATCCCTCTTTCTTAAACAGTCATTTTATTCTAGGACTGAATTTACCATGCAAGATTCTTTCTCATATAAAATTATTTCTTTTTAAGTTTTCTTACCAAAAAATTCCTCTTTATTTCCATAAGTTTCTTTATATCTCGGGTTCCTTTTACCTTGTTTTATACATACCTTTAAATAAACTTGGAATTAGACACAAATTGTTCACCTTTTGAAAAAAGATACCTTTTTGTTTTGAGACAGAGTCTTACTCTGTCACCGAGGCTGGAGTGCAATGGGGTGGTCTCAGCTTACTGCAACCTCCACCTACTCAGGTTCAAGTGATTTTCCTGTCTCAGCCTCTCGAGTAGCTGGGATTACAGGAGAGTGCCACCACATCTGGCTAATTTTTGTTTTTTTAGTAGTGATGGGGTTTCACTATGTTGGCCAGGCTGGTCTCAAACCCCTGACCTCATGATCCACCCGCCTCAGCCTCCCAAAGTGCTGGAATTACAGGCTTGATTCACTGCGCCTGGCCAAAAGGGCACTTTTTTTTTTTTTTAAAGAAAATGTTTTCCTACAATATATATTTGTATTGAAATAGCTATTATTTAATTTAATATACCTTTAGATGCAAAATTATGCGTTTGTCTACAAGTATTTATCCCATTACATTTACTTAATTATTTTATTTTAATTATGTACCTAGATTATTTATGAAAACTGTGATAGTCATCATTTAAAGTTCTGAAACTTGGGGCTGGGCTTGGTGGCTCACGCCTGTAATCCCAGCACTTTGGGAGGCCAAGGCACGCAGATCATGAGGTCAGGAGTTTGAGGCCAGGCTGACCAACATAGTTAAACCCCATCTCTACTAAAAATACAAAAATTAGCTGGGCGTGGTGGCACATGCCTGTAATCCCAGTTACTCGGGAGGTTGAGGCAGGAGAATCACTTGAACCTGGAGGTGGAGGTTGCAATGAACCAAGATTGTGCCACTGCACTCCAGCCTGGGCAACAGAGTGAGACTCCGTCAAAAAAAAAGTTGTGAAACTTGCCATTGCAAAATTATAACTGAGTCAGTGAAAAAGACATGACCTAACTGAGTCCATCTTGCTTCTAACCTCCAAGTTGTCCTTGTTTATTCCTGAGCATATGTCAAATTCACTTTGGGAGAAACCTGGTTTATAGTTTAGGTTTTTTAAAACAAAGATGATAACAGTCCTTCCCCAAACAAACCACCTTACTGCCTGTGGACTAGATTGACTAAAACCATAAGATTAGAAGTTATGGTAATTTTACTAAATAATTCAAGATGTAGCTGTGTTCATTAAACCAGTATCAGTGTCTTATTTATTAAAAATTACACAAGGATCCAGGTGCAGTAGCTCATGCCTATAATCCCAGCACTTTGGGAAGCCAAGGTGGGCAGATCATCTGAGGTTTGGAGTTCGAGACCAGACTGACCAACATGGAGAAACCCCATCTCTACCAAAAATACAAAATTAACTGAGTGTGGTTGTGCATGCCTGTAATCCCAGGTATTTGGGAGGCTGAGGCAGAAGAATTGCTTTAATCTGGGAGGTGGAGGTTGCAGTGAGCTGAGATCATGCCATTGTACTCCAGCCTGGGCAACAAAAGTGAAACTGTCTCAAAAAAAAAATTATACAAGCAAAGATCATTCTGTTTTGGGCTGGACTTATACATAACCCCTGTGCTAAATTTTGACACCTTATGATATTTGCCACGGATAAGTATGGTATTGCTTGATCAATAAATGCAAACAAAAATGTATGCTGGCAATTCTTAAGACATTTCTAACATTACCAACAATTTTAAAGCTAGCTTAATTATTAAAGATTTAAGTCACATAAACTTGAAAGAGCATTTGATTAGTCTTTGCTTTTTTTGATAAAGTATTTGATTTAAGCACTTTTATTTTCTTTGAGTCAATTAATTAGACCTCTTTTCTCTATTTTTAGAAGTGAAGCATTGTGTACACAATACATAAATACATAGCCATATTAGACATATTGATAGAAATACATCTTATAGATTCCTAAGACCACTTTTTTTTCCTACCTTAGACTTGCAAACTCTTGATAACCTGTTTCATTACCCTGGCAGTTATCAGCAAAATAGCTGTAAATCTCCATATTGGAGGAAGCAACTCTTAGATGAAAAATCAGATAGCAAAATTTACATCTCAAGGTACAGAGAGAAAATGTTTGGTGATGCTAGAGGGAGATTAAAGATGGATGCCAATCAAACATTAAATTATAGACCTCTATCATAAGATTGTATGAGAAGACCAATTTTATTTAGATAAGGACTACCTGTCTTCTAACTGGTTCTCTGAGCTGTGGGCAGAGTTTACACTGAATCCTTGGTCTCCAAAAAGGGAGAATTATTATGAGGCTAGACCACATGATGCTTTCACAGTGCATTAAAAAATTTTTTTTAAACAAAGACATTTCTGCCGGACGCGGTGGCTCAAGCCTGTAATCCCAGCACTTTGGGAGGCCGAGGCGGGTGGATCATGAGGTCAAGAGATCGAGACCATCCTGGTCAACATGGTGAAACCCCGTCTCTACTAAAAAT